TGCTCTTAATGCAATAAAATACACAAACATTTTATGCCTATAGTTGAAGAAAAATGTCTGGGAAATATTTAAAAAGTGATCTTGTTAGACACATACAGGTATCCCTAAAGCTCTGTAAACCAATAGTAATAGCCAATAACCTCTAGACCTTGGCTGCGGAAAGTCAAAGTAGTAAGTAAGTCTCTTTTATTTTATACACTATTCGCATGTATATACATGAACACTAAGCAACGAGAAGCTCATGTCTTGCTTGTACCTCACGTCCTTTCTGCAACAAGTGTTCTAACGTCAATCGATATCAACGCCGAATGCGCATGCTCGCGCAGATTCCCTCTTGTGCTGCTTCACACGACGAGGGTTTCCTCTTATTTTACAATCCTCGAAAGTGCAAAGTTGTATAAAATGAAATAGAACGTATACGGTATTGAATAGTTGCATTAAAACTTTTTATGCACATGACGTTGAGATGTGTAATGGTATTACCGAACATCCATAAAATTCATTTATAACCACAATTCGTTCTTTTCGATGATCCTTATTATGTATGCTGCAATTTTTATAGAGATGAATGCTCTCGATTAGATTTTCTATCGTGTAAGGACGTACTTATGCTAATGAATTTAGTAATCTCCTAGGAGTCGTGCATACACCTGTTGCTTACTATATTACACTAACCCTAAATTAATTATTTTTTCGGCTTGGAAATTAATTTTCATCATCATCGTAACTCTAAATACTTACTTACTTTTCAGGTCGAAATTATTTCTTGCTATTTTTAAGCTATGCTAATTAATTTTACGAAACATTTACACATACATGATGATCATTTAAGGAAACCAAAAGTCAAGTTGAAAAAAATTACATTAACTTTTAAAACAAGAGATATTGTAATATTTAAATATATATGCTTTTTACAATTTTTTTTACATCTTCCTATCATAAATGTATAATAATCCAAACAAAGTGATTATATTTTATTTGGATATAAAATAATTGTTAAATTTATGACGTCATAATATTTTTGCGTATGTTATTATATATTTTTTTTATTCAAACTAATAAATTTCTTTTACATATATAGATCGTTTCCTTGGAATTAACATTTTCTAATTAAAAAAGTATAATTACGAGCTAAAGAAGCCAGTTTCAGAAGTAAGCAGAATTAAAAATTGTATTATTTAAAATTTAATGTAAAATATGCTTTAAAATTTATTAATATTGCACTAACATATTCATTCATTTAGCCTTAAACATATAAATATATGATTTTAAAAAAGTCATAAATTTAAAAAAATGTTTCTCTAGTGGTTCGAAAATCGTCTTTCATGTATGCATCATCTAAATTGCCGCATAACCATTGAATATATTTCAAAAATAATTTTGTTGAAAATTTATTGTTTCTTTAGTAAACATTATACTTTAACATTTTTTTAAAACAATGAAATGTATCTCTAAAATTTTTATATACAAAAATTTAAACAAATGCTAATTATGGTTGTATGGATTAAATTTGGTTAAATGCGTAATAAATTATTATTAAAGTAATGTTCATAAACGTATTATGCAACATTATATTAGTTGAAAATTAGTAGAATCATAGAAAAAAGCTACATGATATCTTTTTTTTACTTTTGTATTTAAATCAACGTTATAACTTCAATATCTTGCACATATAAACTCAAATATGAATAATATGTAAGAGTATTATTCCAGAAAAAACGGCTTTCTGTGTTCATTCTCATAAAAGCGAATGGGTACGAGCATTTATATGTAATATTCCTTCAACCGCCCCAATAGTTTCTGGCGACTTTGAAACATTGAATAAAAATACTGTATTTGCAATACAGAAATATAAAATAATAATTATGAGAATAAGTTCATAGCTGTATTGCAAGAGATAATACGATCTAATTGTATAGACGAATAATACTTTTTTTGAAAAATAATAGTTACATTATCAAATCGTATCTTCTATAAGATTTTGAATTTCTATAAGATTCTAAAAGGATTTGATAAACAAATATAAGAATATTGAGATACTTATGTATAAATATATATGTAAAAATTAAATAACTAACAAAATTACATTATATTTTACAATCACAATTTACACTATAAATGTGTATTTTAAATATTTTGATCCCGATGCATGTTTTTCGTAAAGATGGTATTTTTTTATCTGTAAAGACAGTAAGAACCATCTCTGCTGTTTTTAATGCAAAAATATCAAATGATATTATTCAAGTTTTTAAATAGTATACACTAAATAATATTCTTAACTTGTAATTCAATAAGTTTGAAAGCATGTTTTATCTTGAAAAATGTAGAAAAGAAATATACGAAGTCATAAATTAATGCATAGATAATGAAGTGAAAGATAAAGGAGAAAGAAAAGGAATAAGATAGAGTGCGAGAAAAAGAAAGAAACGGAGGTATAAATTTTCCTGACAGTGAAAATGGTAGCTAAATACGTAACTTCGCGCAGACGCAAGACGAAAATCATGTACGTATGTGCTTACTCACAATCGAGATCTTTCCAATTTCTTTTTTTTTTGTTTTTTTTTTTTTGTTTGTTTATGTCAATAATACGATATGAATAAAATTATAAAATTAAATGGATAAAAGAAATAATAGGACAGTGAATACATGAAAAATATGATGATGGATAGAGTGAGAAAAGGAAAAAAGAGAGAGTGAGAAAAACGAAAGAAGTGGAATAAAAAAGAAAAAGAATGTGAATCGGATGTTAAGAGATGTTAAGAAGTCAAAAAGGAAAATAATTTAAAAAGAGAGGGTTTGAGAGAAGAATGCAGTAGCGCTATTGAACAAAATATTTCCATTCATAGATTGGAGAAAGTGTATATGGATATATATGTATATATGTATTTATAAAAGAGAGGGTTTGAGAGAAGAATGCAGTAGCGCTATTGAACAAAATATTTCCATTCATAGATTGGAGAAAGTGTATATGGATATATATGTATATATGTATTTATGTATGCAAATTAATGATATATATATATATATATATATATATATATATATCTTTAATATAAAATTCTGTAACAAAGTTTTATAATTCAAAAGAATAATGAATAGTAGCTTATCGAAGAATAACTTTAATATATAGATAATAATGGCTATAATATATATATATATATATATATATAACTTTAATATATATATAAAAATGGCTATAATATATATATATATATATATATATATATATATATATATATATATATATATTATTCTTTTGTATTATAAAACTTTCTTACAGAATTTCATATTAAAGATAGATGTATTATGAAAGTTTGCTCGTAATTATTATTATATTATATTTCTAATTAACAATTTCTGTATTATATAATATAGTATGTTTTTATGTAATTAACCCACAATTTTGATTAAAATATACAATAAATACATAGTCAATCCTTTTTAATTAAATCAGTAAATATAATAATTTCTAAAACTATGTTATAACTACATGTATTTAAAATCTCTTAAGAAAATAATTGTGTAAATAATAAGAACAGATTATGCGAATGTGACTACAAATATTAGAAGTATTACGTTGTGTTAAATTTAATTTTATATATTTATAGAAGACACGAAAGATGAAGAAAAAAATATCTTAGAAAAATGAATAAAAAAAAAAATTTGTTTACAGCGTTTAATAATAAAAATATATAATGTTTTTACTGACTTTGAATTATAACTCTGTTTTGAGTAGAATAATCATAATATAGTCAGCCACTATATTTCTACTTAGATGTGTTATTTAGCAGACTGGAAGCCAATAAAATTTTCTTTTCATTAATCATCTTTTACTTATTGCAATAGCTTTGAAATACATAAGTAATGAATATCAAGTAAAATTTTATCTTGTTCTAGATATTGTATAGTCGTAAATTCTTATAAAGAAAATACTTTGCAATTAATGGCTTCTAGTACGTTCTATATTTATTGTACCGATTAAATTAAAAATCTTAAAAATCATTTAATTTAAGATGAAAGATACTAATATTTATTTCGCATTTATGATACGATTCGAATATTATTCTTTTAATATAAACATTTCATTTTGAAAACTGATTTACTGTTATATAGAATTATCATTACACAATATTATTTAACAGAATTTTATGTTGATTTTGTAATATTCTCGTTATATGATAATGATGATAAAGATACGTGACTTTGACGTGCTTTTCTAAATGCGCTCATATTGAGTAGGATACTTGGCTATTTCATTAATAATGCGTTTTTGTACTTGACCATTTTATTAAAAATATCCATAAAGACAGTTTTATTTAAAAAAAATTTATCAAATTGAAAAGTTCAGAAATATGACATTGTATGCTTACAAGTTCGTCTTAACATCATGATTTTTATAAATAATTTACTTTACGTTCTTAAGCTTACATGCGGCATCTCAAATGCTCTAAATGCTCCAGTTATGTTAAGAATTCTACAAAATCAAAAAGCTTTACGCACACATCTTTTCCTATGATTGGTAATATCTATCTATCCTAATGCTAGAAACAGTCACGTATAAGCTTCGAGAAATGTGCGTGGTCGCCGATATTAAAGCAGAGAATGACGACACTATATTGCAGCAAGGGAGTATAACGGAGCGAGCGATAAAGGATGCGAGAGGGAGGCAGATAACGCAATTTACATTGTGTACACGCGTCTCGAGCGTCCGACGGCCGATCGATTTGAATCCAACGCGCGCGCCCTTCTTTTCTCCCACCCTACTATATCGTGCCCTCCACGTCGCGCCCCCGACCGTTGGTGCGTGTCGGCAGTCGGAGGTACCGCTTCGTCGAAGCCGGACGACCTCAAGGACGAGATATACTTTGAAAGTATTGTGGCGCGCGTGTGTCACCTGCGAGAATAAAATTCTTTCAGCCATCGGCTCTGTTTAAAAAGACTCATCGAAGTTTCTGCTCAATTGTCTAAAAAGTGGATAGAGATAGGGAGAGACAGAGAGAGAGAGAGAGAGAGAGAGCAAGAAAACGAGAAAGAGTGAGAGCAGGGCAAAACATTCGCATCGTCGTCGCATTGCCGTCGTGACGCGGCTTGTAACATGAGCGATCTTTGAGGCGCTCGTCACGCCCAGGTAACGTGCTCGCTTTTTCGTCTCTTTTACCTTTACAGAGCTTCTACGTTTGTTCATCCGTACTTTTTTGCGAGAGAGCGACGACTGCCGCTATAACTTCAAGAAATAGAGACGACCGGGTAGCCGACTAGAGACCATTGGACAGATTTCATGCTGAATAGTTGTGTTATTCCGCAAGAGTGGAAAAAAGATGAGAAAGAGCGCAGACGTCGAGAGAGAGAGAGAGAGAGAGAGAGAAAGAGAGAGAGAGAGAGAACCATATTATATTTATATTATTTTCACGATATGAGGTATGCTTCTTGGGAAATGCATTTAATCGTCGAAATATACATTTCAGCAAAGGAAATTATAATGCTGTTACAACAATAATTGTACCATTTTTTAAAAGTATTTTATTCAATTGAAAAAGTATTGTTAGATTAAATGTGTTACCTTTTAGAGTTTTGAAAGTATGCGAATTAAGAATCAATAATGGCAATCAAAAGGAATTTTTTATAAATCATTACTGTTATGACCGCTAAACATCAAATGATCAACCTAACAATAAAAATAATAATACTTACAAGTCACCCGTTCTATATATGACATTTGTAACACGAAAAGTACTTTATTTGAGCAATAATGATCGATGCCTAAATAATTTTTTCCATTTCATCGCGTTGATTAATCTAAATAGAAGGTAAAGTAAAATAGTAGCGACGATAAAAAGTGCCGAGTCGAGAAACAAAATTGAAGCAACTAAAAAAAGCTTAATTTAATATTCCGAGATTATTGATGAAGCAAATAATGCTTTATTCGATACTTGTGCTCATGTAGTGAAGCGCAGCCTCGTTAACCGAGGCGCCGTGTTACCGTTTCGAGACCGGCATTAGCTTATCCGAGCAACCTGATGCTCCAACAGAGCTGAGAATCCAGCTCCTGGCTGTTTATTCCCTGTCACGAGCTATAAATTATACACGATTAATTATGCAAGTCTATGGGATTTGAAGAACGTGACTGCGCCTCATCGTGGCCCCCTTATAAATCGAAATCCGGAATTAAAGGGAAGATTCAGTGGTGCTGAAACTAGAGATTCAGGGAATTCTTGATCTGAAAATCATGATTAAAAAGTTCATTTAATCAGGCAGAATTCCAAAAGCAACTAACGTAATGATAAAGCCTCCTCTCTTTCTCGATATAACGAAGAAATGCAATTAACGTACAATAAATTTAACAGTGTGCATTTATAAGCTCAGTTTTATAAATTTGTACATTATAGAATAAATTGGTTAAAACAAATATTAACAGACTGTTTATCTTAATTAATAGAATACGTATTAATTGAATTAATTATTAATATAATTAATTATACCTGCTAATACATATACTAATATTAATATATTATTATAATGTTATTAATGGAATAGTTGAAAAATTAATTATACTAATATTAATGAAATACTTGGAAAATTAATTAAACGCTTTTCAAATTTTCAGATACAAGCATTATTAAAATATTTGAAATAGATATAATTGATTATTGTAAATTATTATTTAAACATCTATCTTATTATCTATAATCTATTGATTTTCTACATTTGAATAGATACGAATTTTTTAGATAGTTAATAATTAAAATAGATTTCTTTTCTTAAAATTAAGACTATTCATAATAATAAAAGATTAATCCATTGTATCAATCAATCACTTGTTATAGAGTATAAATTAAGTTATTTAATTGAATAAAATCATTAATAAATCAATACTTTTTTATTATTATAATTAATTATAAGAAAAACAAGGTAAAAAATCTACATAATTTGAGCTAATAATATTGTAAAAAATTAATGATCAATAGAATATGTAAAGTAAGACTTAAAAAACTAATCAATATAGATAACTGGGGATTAAATTTAATTACTAAGTCTACAAGTTTATAATAATTTTATAAATTTTAAAAATTTATGAATAATAGAATTTGTAAATTATTTCGAAGAAATTATTTTTATAAACATAAGTAACATTTTTATTCAATTATAATGTAAAATAATAAAAATCAAATTATATGAATTATTTAGAAATGAAACACAAATTCTCATATTATAATAAATATGATTAAAATAGCCTTTAATTGTGAATAACACATAAATACCGAAAACATAAATATTTTGAACTTTAAATACCATTTCTTTATATACACACACGCGCGCACGCGCGTGTATGTGTGTGTATTTGCTTAAGTACGTTTCATTGGCATATATTTCCAATTAGAACTTCTTTCTTTAACAGTCTTTTTAAATTATAAATTATAAGTGTCTATCCATTTGTATTGATAATGTTATTTAATAAATATTTATAAGAGATATTTTCAGGCATTTTATCTAAACGCATGTTTAATATGGATATGAGACTTAATATTAAACAACAATTTATTCTTAAATTATATATTTGTATAAAATAATTACTAGACAATTTATTTGACTTTATCAAGTGTAAAAGAAAGTAAAATTAAAGTCACACAAAGTAAGATAAAGTGATACGAGATTTCATTATTCTAAAGTATTAGTAATTAATAAATATTAATTATTTTGAAATTGAATGAAATTACTAGAAATTACCACTAGATTCGATTAAAACTACATATTTATATAGATAAATCTAATAGTAAATAAATGTTGAAAAATGTCGAATTAAAAATTATAACTTTATAAATATACAGATAATATATATATATATATATATATATATATATATATATATTGAATGGTTACATTAATTAATTTAATTAATTAATATAAATCAGAGAATTATTTCTATAAATTTTGTATTTATTATTGTAATTATTAAGAAGCGTTGATAATGAATAAAAATTTACTATATGGAAATCGTTCAATAGCCTAAATATTTGCGTAAGTACTAGAATTTTTTCATTATAATTTTAAAATATCTATTTAATACTATAACATAAATGTGAAAAACAAGATCCACGTAACAGTTAAAAAATAATACATAGTAAATTTATTAAGTCTATCATGTAATATATGTAAATATAGTAAATATTATGAAATAATAATATAGTACTTTCAATAAATTAGATTAAAAATAAAAAATAAAAATTTTATACATTCTAACAGATTACTTGATAAAACAATAAATTGGAAAGTGAACCTTTTCACGTGAGGTATGTTTGTCTATTTTAACATTATTACAAATGGTTATTATATACATTTATTACTTTTCTTCTCCTGTATATGAAGTATTTTATTGATTAATAATTATTTTTATTATATAATATACGTATCGATGCAAACATTTAATATTTTCCAAAATATACATTTAAAATACATTTCTACTGTAATTAAAGAACAATATTAACTTTTAGCAATAATCAATTTTTATGGATAAAAGTATTCGTTCTGAGATAATAAATCATGAGAAAACGAACTTTTTATATAATAATTTTCAACATATTATTTTTAAATATTGCAACTGGATAAAGTAATATACTTGCATAATAAAAATTATAAATAATGTTGTTCAACAACACCTCACTTATCTATGTTATTACAAATTTATATATCAACATTTAGAATGATTAAATGAAAACAAATATATGTATATAAGTTTGTATGTCTGTATCACAATTAAAAATAAAAATCTAGGAATATATATAGAGATAAAAAAGAGAGATAATATAGCGATTGAATTGCAAGTAACTAAAAAAATTACCATATTGAAGCCATAATTTCGCAAGTGATCGAGTACATCATCTTAAGTGCATGAATATATTGAATCAATATTGTATGTTGGTAAAAAGTTTATCTAGAAAATTATAAATTTATATTGATTTTAAGCTAAATATATAGAAAATGTTTAAATAACTTAAAATAAAAATGAAATTGATAGCAACATATTAAACAAGTTAATATATTATAAAACACCCACACACACACACACACATATTCACAATTTGTACACACTTATATATATATATATATATATATATATATATATATACTTATTTATTTATTTATTTAGAAATACACATTGATAAATCACTATTTATAAATTGATTTATACTTATTTGCTTTATACCTCATTTTTTGCGTTTAACTTGTTTTGCTAATAAAACAAATTAGTATTTTTATATAATTCTTACTATGAACCACCAAATTATTAAGATATCATAAATATATAATTATAATAAATTAATAATATCAGAAATACCACAAAGTATTCTGTACAATAATGAAAAAAATAAAAATGATAACGAACATTTGATATTATATGATAATACATGTGCACAATTAATGATTAACACGATCTTTCAATTTTACGTTTTTAACAAAAATGTATTCTTAATTAATATATAAACAAACAAATAAATAAGAGAATAACTTGTTTTATGTTTTAAGTATGGCGAAAATGATTTTGTATTAATGTACGCCGTTTTTGTTAATTCATTTCGCTTATATGACATTGTTAAATTTCATATTTTTATATATGTTGCTCTGTAAGTTACTTTATGCAATTATTTATGTTACGTTTCTAGTTTTAGGAGTGACAGCTACTTCTATTTAATTATAACATTTTAGTTTTAAAAAGTCGTTTGTGCTTTTGCTAAATTGTTTATTTAATACTTGAAATGTATAGTTATTTTATATACTTGAAATTTAAATTTGCTGATATTAATTAACATACAAGTATGGTAATTGTATTTAATTTATTATATATATAATATAAAAAATAAATAGTCAAAATAAAATATAAATTTGATAGTATTTATAAGATGTAATAGAATAATACAAAATTACAATATAACAAAGTAAAATTTTCGTTGAAGCATGTAAGCATAAAAATAGAAAAGTGCTATACTAAATATTACTAGTAAATAGCATTTATTTGGAAAAATTTTTTATTTGTAATAATATATTATCGCAAAAATAATATAGTATCGCACATGTTGTCTACTATTTAAATTCTTCTTTTCATACTTTCTTTATTCTAATACTTTCTAATATCTATATATGAGCATAATAGCAGTCTGTTTCAAGTATTAAACTAAAACAAAATTCATCAGAGTATATGAGAAATAATAATTTGCAAAAAGTAAATAAAAATATTTGTTGCAAAATAAAATTTACGGATTATACCTACATTCAGAATGATTTTCTATTATTTTTATCGTAAAATATCATCGAAGTAATGTGTAAAAAGTCTATTATAAATGAGTAAAAACATTTTTAATTTTCCAGCAAAAAAATTATGCATACGATGATATTTCAATTTTAAAAAGTTAAACAAATTTTAAATTATAAAAATCTTTATCTTGTATAATTTTCTTTAGTGATAATAAATAATCAAAATACATAATATACATTTCGATTTCATAAGAGTATTATTCATTGAATTTCAATAGAATTATTTTTCAATTGAAATATCAATGTGTAATTATGTTCAATTAAAACATCAATATATAAATATTTATTATAATAATTTTTATTTCTTGAATGTCTTACATAAGTAAAATGTTATTATTAAAAAATGAAATATTAAAATATTTATTCAAGATAATTTTAGAATAGATTTTTTCTTTTAATGTAATGAAAATAACAATTTATCAATATTTTAACATAAAAAAGTAATTGAAATCCAATATATAAAAACAAAAAACATTTTCTAATGACAATTAAAATGTAGACTTACCTCTGATCAAAATCTAATTCCTATTTTTTTATTAAAATTCACATGAGCTCTATTTTTTCTAATTATATTCAATTGAATTCTATCGTTTGATTACTTTTTCAATGAATATTTATAATACATAATTTGTCGAATTTATTGATCGAGTAGATTTTAAACTGAAATAAAAATTATTGATGATATTTAAATTATATTTAAAATTATATATTTAAAAACCAATATTTTGTTCCATATAATATTTTTCAATCAGATTTAAGAAATGTAAAAGAAAATTGCATATCATTAAATTAAGATAATTGAACTTCGCTATAAATTTTATCTTGATTAATTAAAATATGATTCTCATTTATTTTACTCTACTATATTTAGACTAAAAATGTAATATATTATTTTTGTTAGTCTCCCTAAGATGAATCGTGAATTAAGTATAAAAATATGAGAATACGTCAAAATCTAAATTACTACGACGTAAAAACGAATAGAAAGTAAATATCGATTTTTCTACAAGTTAATGCCTTTGCTCTCTGTATTATTATTTCTTTTTTATTCTTATGAAAAACTTGTTGATAAACTTCATAGAGATCAATGCTTTATTATAAGTTTTATGTAGTTATAAAAATAAATCTGTTTGGTCGTTTGCAAATACTATTTAAATTTTTAATTTATAATTTCTTTATTAGCTACTGCTCGTACAATTTATGATATGTTCCATTGGGAAAAGTTTTTACTAACGTTTAGTTTTATTAGATGCGCATGAAACATATGAGTTGACAGAATTTATTTTTAATATCAAAGAAATATTGAGTAAATGATAAAATATTTTAAAAATATATTTATTTAAAAAAAGTAGACTATAAGGATTAATTTTATCATTATTAATATTAATTGTTATTTTCAATTTCTGTAGAAATTATGAAATTATTTAATGTAAGGAAGCTATGTAGTGTGGTTAATTATTGATGGGAAGGGAGAGACAATCGAGTCCGTACTGAAAATGTATTTGATTAGATACTCAGACAAGATCTATTGTATCCCGTTCTTCTAACTTAATTAATTTGATATTATAGTTAACCATAATTTTTACTGCTTAACAGACAAGCGTAGACTTTGCTGAACTTTGAAATGAGTCTGTACATCTTCTAGCACATGTGATTGCAAATGCTGGGCATATAAGGAGGTATTTCGTCGATTTTCCATCTAATCTACGCCATTCACATTTCCTTTTATTCCTGTTATTTATTTTAATTAGATAATGTCTGAGTCTTCTAATCTCAGTATTATGTTCGCCAGTACATTACCTATTCTAAAGCTCTATTCGTTTAATTTTTATTCTGAAAATAATTCAATGGCTACAAATCTTTTACTTTTTTTTCTTTTTTCTTTTTGTATTATATCTCCATTGAAATCTGCGAGTATTTAGTTCGGATCATTAAAGTATTATTGATACGGTATAATAGGATTTGCAAAATCGATACCAGTCAGAAAACATAAGACGTGTCATATTTTTATTTTAATAATAAATAAAGCAACAAAGGCGTTTTTACAAAAATTTAATATTCATAAAACTATTCATTTATGAAAAAAGAATATTTCGTAAAAAAATGATTTTTTTATTAATATCAGAAATGCAGTAATTGTTAAGATATCTTATTAAATGATGGAGGATAGTTTTGGTGCTAAAAAAAATTTTAATGTGATGATAAAATATTAAATTTAAGAAGTAGCATAGTGATGGAGCACTTTTCGTTTAGGTGATATTAATTAAGATTGAAAATATATTAGATTTGAAATATAACAGAATAATCATAAAATAAACATAATGTATACAAGTATTATCTAGTATAATCGAATATGAATCTTTAAATTTGAAAAACATTAAAAAGTAAACTAAAATCTACGACAAAAATTTTTGGATATAATTATATTTTATTGACTTTATGACTTTATAATTTCAGTATAATATACATCAAAAGTACAAATATATATATATATATATATATATATATAAATGTTCTTTAATCCTATTAATTAGTTTCAATTGATAAAATTAATCTTTCACTTATGTAAATTGATCGTCCATTGAAATCAACCTTTGATAAAATCCACAAAACCTTTTGGATAATTAGTTTATTATTTGAGAAATTATATCACATTTGAAAAATAAATTTCAATAAATATATTTTGTTACAATAACAATATTTATGTTTTTGTTTAATATATATATATATATATATAATAGTAGGTATAGAAGTTGACTCAATAACTTAAAGCAGCGTGGAAGAATATTGGTAATAACCGCGTTCGTTGCGCGCATCAAGTACGTCGCATTATATTAATTTATAAATGTTTTCGTATCTTTAGATATCTGACGACAAAAAATTTCTAATTTTTTGATTTTTCATGAAAATTGTATGAATGAAATTGTTATTTTTTAAATATTTAATTATTTTTGAGTGTTTCTTTTAGCAATTAACTAACGATAATTTTTTTATCTATCAGACAGAAATTGATTATTATTTTCTTTGTAAATTGATTGGATGATATAAGCAATGAATGATTTTCATGAAAAATTGTATTAATGTATTCTATTGTAAATTAATTTTCATTTGAAAATCTTTTTATCTGATATTGTAGAAAATACATAGATGATATACATTTTATATTATATGGACTAAAAACTTAATCTAAAAAAATTGATAATAAACGATACCATCATATATCGACTAAGAATTACCTACTGTTTACTTAAGAGTTACTTACTAATTATTTACTTTAATTGACATTAGATGAAATTGAATTAAATATGGCTATAAACTGACAGTTAAAAAATTCTGAAAAGTACGTTATTTATTATACTATTTTAGATACATGACGATACAATTTCAAATTGAATATTATTTTAAGTATTCATAAATCGTACGATGTCGATAAAAGATACAATTCATCAAAATTTCAATTAATAGAAAATATAATATTTTAAGATAACAATTGTAAGAAGGTGATATATGCTAATTTATTTACGCCTACTTTCACAACAATGTTAATATAAAAAAAAATTCTTTTCGTAAAGTAGCCCTTAGCATGCAAGTGGTAAGGTTTATCGTTGGTAAAAACATTTTTATGTTCATTGCATCGTAATAGTTGTTGGTAAAAAAAAAATTGTAATGGGCAACTGCTGTAATATTTGTTGTAATTGTAATGCAATATAAGCACGACTACTAGCTAATGACCTACCTTGTTCTTTTTTCCAGATAGTTCTCTATGGGCCGCAAAAGACTGGATGGTTTGGAGGTGCCGCTGCTGCTATTGTGCGTCATCTTCGGCGGCGCGAGCAGTCACGGGGAGGTCGGTAAGTAATTTCGATTCTTACTTCGCGCATCGACCGCTGGACTGCTGATATTTTCGTAAGCTTATCACGAACTTTTATCCCTGCAGTTTACTCGACTTAGATTTTCTATTCTGGCTCTTTCCCATGTTTTCCTCGCTCTTTTCAAATTTATTACTTCAAAGACGTTCTATTTTACTATTCGATCATTCTTGCGTACGTTTTATCTTTTCGCACACGATGTGTACTTTAAGCGTCTTTCTTCCTCTCCACAGCAAATCATATTTCACCCTTTAAACGCTCCATTTAACTTTTTTATATAGCGACACATTTTTCAATTTAACTTTTACTTAGACGTTTTTATTTTTCATATTTACAAATTTTATACGGCTTTCCGTATACTATATTTATGCAAATTCATTTTCATGCATATAATATCAACCTTACTCAACCTTGTCTTATATAAATCTCGGTAATTAAAGTGTTTTATAATATGTATTGTAACCGAATTCATGAATATTAACAAAAATGTGAATCGCTTTTATGAAAAATTAGTTCTACAAATATGATTCAATGCGATTATGTAATGTCTAATAATGTTATCGCAATTACAGTACAGTTGTTTTCGGTCATTACCGCAGTTTTATTATTCATAATTATCTATTGAAACTGACTACTATATAAATTATGTATCTAACATTTCTACTTTATTTATTTTACCTTACATACTTATTTTATTATACAATTATTTTTTATTTATTCATGTACTTAGCAATTAATAAAATGAATGTAGTTATGTATATATATATATATATATATATATATATATATATATATATATATATATATATATAGAATGAAGGATTAACTTTAGTATATAATGTATTAAAAAGTTATGAATTTTTTTTTTTTCAAACAAGTTATAAACCGATTTTCTTAATTTTATATAATAATTTAAATTATCATCATACTTTCAATTATTATATCGAATATATATTAAAAATACTTTTAAAAAAGTTTCAATTTATTATTTTTATATTAGTTATATATTATAACCGATTGATTATATAGCTGAAATAATAAATAATATATAATGTGTGATTGGCTTTCATAATGTCTGTTAAATAAAAAGTTTACTCATATTTTAACATAATACTACAGGTATAATATAATATTTTATCCAAAGATTTTTAAATAATATGACTTGGTATACTTATGCTATATATGAAAAATTATTATTTTGAAAATTTTAACTAATACGTGATATTAAATATTTTATAGATAAAATTATATTTACAAAATAAGTATATAATGAAAATAATAATAGAAGCTTGAAAGATGGATATAAGAGATCATACAATCCATGCGGGATAATTTCCATATTGGATTTCTTTACTGTCCTAAGACAAGTATATTATAAAATATACTTTACTGGCACTATTCAATAGTTATGGCAGTGAATTACCTTCGTGCTAGATAAGCAGAAAATGACTAATTGCTCGAATGATTTTATATACGCGCGAGTGAAGTACAAAGTTTTTGACAATCCAAGAAATTTTTCTTTATTATTTCCACTTCTGCAATAGAAAGTGGATATGCAAAGCATATGTAAAAGGTAACTTTAGCTAATTTACAGATTATTGATTGGTCAGATATCATGTAAATAGGTTTGTAATTGTCGCTAAGTGAGGGCAGATATTGCTGGTATAGGAAGGAGTCGGACTAACATTTCCTTTTATACTTTCCAGCAGTTATGCAACTATGAAACTAAAATAATCGTCGAGAGAAGTGTGCTGTATAAATCCTGCAAAATTAAATTCCCCTATGAGTACCGGGAAAATAAACCATTGGTAATAGGTTTGGATAAGAAAAAATAAATAATACATGAATACTTTTGCAGACATAATATGAGTATAATTATTATAATTTTTATAATATCAATGATATCAGATAAAATATATATTAATTTTTATTTCTTATAAATTCATAGATAGATTATAGTAAGATCTTTTTTAGTAAAAATAAATAAAAACAATTTGAATGGTGTGACAAATTTTGAATAATGCCTTTATTAAATAATATTAATATTAAATTCCTAATTGAGTATATTTGACTTATTGTATTTAGGTATTTTAACATTAAACGATTAATATTTAAATAAAGCTATTTATAATCGATTATAAATGTTGAAATGTCAAAGTCAAAGAATAAATCGTTGTCTGCAATAAGTCGAAATAAGTGTATAGTTGGCTACTACGAGAAGTAAAATTTCTTTAATCAATATATTTTAAATAAAGTACTCATTAATTTTTTTTTAAACTTTATTTTTATTCAGATAATTATTTTTTAAATGTATATAATACATGAATTTTGTATAACTAATAGTCTTTATAAAAATTATGTAAAGCAATTAAAATATATCTACGATGAAATGAGATAAATTAAATTATTAAATTTAGAAAACAATTTATTATTAAATATAATTAAAATGAAGATTATATAAATTTAAATTAATTTAATGTTATTAATCTACTCAAAAGTTTATAACAATTATAATGAATAGTTTTACTAAGAAAAAATATTATTAAGATAAGAACAAAGTAATTTTAAATTATATAATTTAAATATATGAATAAAAAAATTATTAAATTTTTGCTGAAAATAGAAAATTTATAATATGACTAATTATAATACACTAATTAGAAATTTATGAATACGAAACAAATTAAATTTTTGATAAAATTAAAAAAAATCACTTTTTTTTAATATTACTAATACAAAATATATATATATATATATATATATATATATATATATATATATATATATATATATATATATATATCATAATAAACAAAAAAATAATTCAAAATGAAATTTTTTAAAAAAATTTATGTTCCTGTAATTAAATGAATTTACTCTGTACATAGTATTGGAATTTTCAATTAACTAACATTTGAAAAAAAATTTTGTTTAATTTTGAAATCTTTGCTTTGAATTATTAATGCAGTTCAATATTTAAATCTCCATTTTAATTTTGTAAATCAATTAATTTTATTCATGCCATTATAGGATATTCATAAGTAATTAATGCATAAACACTTGACATACAATTTTAAACGCTACCAAATAAAATTTATATTCAGCCCATTTGGCTTAGTATTAAATGTAAATTTTGCGTGTATGTATGATGAAATTAAAAAATAATAATATTTTCAATTTTAAGATTATTATTAGTAACAATGATTTAATTTTTTAATAGTAGGTGATTTATAAAATAATACTTTATATTTAATAAACTACTGCACTATTGCGACCGAATGCTTTATCAAAAAAATTTAATTTTTATAACGTACGTGACATTACAATTCTGAGAAATATTATTTTCACACGCGCAAGTAATATATTCAGAATTTGAAACTTTTATTCAGTCATTTTAATACAATGCTAATTTCAAATTCATAAAGTTATAATCTGCAGATGTTACAAAATGTATTATGGTATAGGTTTATAGTATAGGGTGCAGTATAATATCTGTAAATTATAACTTTATGAGTTTCAAATATCATGTATATGAATAAATATATATATATATATATGTATGTTTCAGTAAAAATTTGAAATTTCTTTAATTTATTCATTGATAGGATGCGGGTAAAATCATATCATTAAAAGGAATTTCATGGTGTAAAGTATCAAATTACCAGTTTAGGAAATATATTCACTAATTTAAATAATAATGTAGAATTAATATCGAATTTCAAATAATATTGGGTGCTATGTAATCGACTAAAATTATCTGTCATTATCAGAAATTTACACATTATGAAAAATAACAATTCATCTATTTAATCAAATGTCTGTACATTATTTAAACAAAATGAAATTATAAAAAAATTATATTATTAAATTTTTCCATTTACATAACATTATAACAATAGAATTTTCTTTTAAAGCAGTTTCTAGATAATTACATTATTTATTAAATTGTAAATATAGCTGGGTATTAAAAATTAATAGTATTTTACATGCTTATGAATAATCATTCGTAATAAACAATAAATTGATTATTGCGTCTCAGCATATTTTGCAATATACATCAATAAAATATGATGTTTGTAATCTACAAATAATATTTCATATTTTTAATACTATATTTCACATAAATGAAAAAAAAAATATATATATATATTGTATTTAACAAGTAAAACAAGTAAAACTAGCAGACAGTAGTTTCAATGTAATTCATAAAGACAAGACTAGAGAACTACATTAGTATTTAAATCTAAAGTCCAACTTATATGAAGTAATGGCCTAAAGCAAAATATGTGAAACCCAGTAGTTTTAAGCGAATTGTGTACACCATTAACTATACTCGCGCTGTAATTAATAGGAAGATGAAACGGCTAGTAGAATCGAAGCGTGAGAATTCGCTTGTCCCTCGGATATATCGTTAATCTTTAAACTCAATTACCGTCCCACATATATCTCTATAAACATAGTGCCGCTAGAAAGTAAAGACCGACACAAAACGCGTGAAAACCTGTCTCGTGTTTATCAAAGGCAATACGATGTGCGTCGTAAAAGTAAGGATCCCGGAGTGACATAAGAGCCGAGATAAGTGAAGCATCTTCTTCACACTCGATCGGACGGCCTACTGTGGAACTCTTGGATAACATGGATTGGATAAGATTCTGGTAATATTATTCGCGAAATCGCGTCTTAGCTAGAAAAAAACAAAAAAGAAAAACAAACGGCTTCCCGCCTAAAAGTGTATTTCCCAACGGATACGCAAGCGCAGATGCGCCGACGACGCCAAGTCAGCAGTTATTGAGCCGCGCATCCTACGCAATCGCCGCCTTCATCTCCAACCCTCTCTGTCTTCTAACTTTATACTCCCATCGGCGTTTTCCATTATTTCACCAAATCATTGTAGCTCCTTATCATCACCGCCTTATCTTCTAGCTGTATGGGGCTTTCCTTTTTAATTTACTCAGGTCCTTCTTCTTACCTTTATTATTTTG